CATCTCCTCCTCCTCCATCATCTCCTCCTCCTCCATCTCCATCATCTACTCCTCCTCCTCCTCAGTACCTAAAGGGGCTGCCCAGAACAGAGCAGTAGTTTTTAAAATAGCATTAGTTCTTTGTTAAATATATCAATGTGTTCTTCTTAATATATTCTTTAATATATCAATATATGAATGTGCAATATATGTAATATATAATAGATAATATCTATTATATATTATAATATACATTATATAATATACATTATATACTATATACTATATACTATATACTATATAATATATAATATAGTTTATTTCTAATATTATATATTATCTTTTATATATATTATATGTTATATATAGTATTTTATATATTATATTTTTATATATTACATTATATATAATTATTATTGAAGAATATTGTTATTTTTATGATTATTGAATGTATGAGTATTGACTTATTCTTATTCTTATTTTATTATTATTATTATTATTATTATTATTATCATTATCATTATCATTATTATTATTATCATGATAATTATCATTATTATCATTACTATTACTATTGAATGCGTTATCTAACGTGCCTGCCGTCCCCCGCAGACCGCTGCAGGGAGGAGTGCAGGTTCAACGCGGTGTGCCTGAACCGGCGCGGGGCCGCGCGCTGCTCCTGCGAGCGCATTTCCTGCGACGGCGCCTTCCGGCCCCTGTGCGGCGGCGACGGCCGCACCTACGGCAGCGACTGCCAGCGGCGCCGCGCCGAGTGCCTGCGGCAGGCCGGCATCGCCGTGCGCCACCGCGGGCCCTGCGGTGAGCACCGCGCACTGTGGGCGGCCCCAGGGCTGCTGGCCGGGGGGTGGCGGTCCCCAGGTTCTCCTGTAGGGATGGTGGTCCCCAAGTTGTCCTATGGGAATGATGGTGGTCCCCAAGTTCTCCTGTAGGGATGGTGGTCCCCAAGTTCTCCTGTAGGGATGGTGGTCCCCAAGCTGTCCTGCAGGGATGTTGTCATGTAGGGATGGTGGTCCCCAAGTTCTCCTGTAGGGATGGTGGTCCCCAAGTTGTCCTATGGGAGTGATGGTGTTTCCCAGGTTCTCCTGTAGGGATGGTGGTCCCCAAGTTCTCTTGTAGGGATGGTGTTCCCCAAGTTGTCCTGCATGGATGGTGGTCCCTCCTGTCCTGCAGGAGTGGAAGTCCCCAAGTTGTCCCACAGGGATGTTGTCTTGTAGTGATGGTGGTCCCCAAGTTGTCCCATGGGGATGCTGTCCCACAGGGATTTTTGTCTCCTCACCCCACAGGGATTCTGGTCCCCTCATCCCACAGGGATTTTGGTCCCCTCACCCCACAGGGATTCTGGTCCCCTCATCCCACAGGGATTTTGGTCCCCTCACCCCACAGGGATTCTGGTCCCCTCATCCCACAGGGATTTTGGTCCCCTCACCCCACAGGGATTTTGGTCCCCTCATCCCACAGGGATTTTGGTCCCCTCACCCCACAGGGATTCTGGTCCCCTGTCCTGTGGGAACGCTGATCCCGCACCCCCCTTGGCCCTTGCCAGGCGCTCCGGGCAGGGTGGCACGCTGCCAGGCCACGAGTGGATGCCCACGGAGGCAGGTGGGGCTGAGCCCGGCGTGCAGCAGCCCGGAGCCTCCCGGCCCCGTGTTCTGTCCCTCCAGCAGCCCTGCCGTGCTCCCGTGTCGCTGTCCTGCCCTGTCTGTGTCTGCTGTGTGACACGGGGACACCCGTCCGTGCTGGAGCCAAGTGTCTGTCACTCTCCTCCCCACCACGCTCCCTCCCATCCACGCCATCCATTGCTCTGCCAGGGTAGTGCCAGTCTCCACACCCCTGCCCGCTCTCCTTTCCATGCCTGCCTGCTTCTCTCCGCCGGGATCTCTTCCCTCTGTGCCCTGTCTGCAGCTCTCACCGTGTCTTTGTCTCGTCTCTAGGAGAAGCTCCCCAGTGGACCTTTCTGAGGAGGATGGGCTGGGATGGGGCTTTGGATCCTTGGGATGCTGGCAGTGCCCAGCTGTAAGGTGCTGGAGGGGTTAAAGCAGCCCCTGCGCTGACCTGGGTTACAAATTGTTCATTTTGGCTCACTTTGGGTTTTCCCACCTCTGGAGCTGCGTCCTGCTCTTTTGAGCTGAGGTTTGATCAGGTATCGGCTGGGCTGAGCCTCCTGAAATGCTTGGCAATCAGAATCCCACCTTGGGGATGTGTTTTGTTGGCTTTGTGCTCCTGCTGGAGGCTTTCGAGGCTGCCAGACCCGGCTGCTGGAAAAGAATCTGTCAGGCTCCCAAAATCCCACTCAGAATAATCACAGCTGTTATTTTTAAGCGCCCGTTTCTCCGTGCTCCTGGTGGGGGGATGGCTGGGAGTCAGTTCCCCAGGTTTTCCCTGTGGGAAGGGCTGTGATCCCACGGTGGGGGGGATTTTTTGCAGCCCTGGCTCTCTTCAAACCCTCCCCTGTGCCTCCCTGAGAGGCTGAAAATCCCCACATTTCTGGGATGAGCAGGGAATTCACGCTGCTCTGAGCGTCAGCCACGCCTCATTCCCACCGTGTTCCGCTGGGCGCAGCGGGATGTGTCCTGTGCACCTGCCATTCCTGTCTCCACCTCCCTCGCCCCGATTCCATCCCCTCCCGGCACACTTCTGCTTCCAGGAGCTGCGTCCTGGTGGGACAGGAAAACCGGGGCTGAAGCAGAACCGGCTTTGCCAAAGCTGGGGTGGCAGAGTGCCTGCGGCAGCTCCAGGCAGCCCGCAGCCCATCCCCAGGAGCTGTGAGCAGATTGCCTTAGCCCCGGCAGCTCCGGCACGGACAAGGAGAAGCTGGAGCTGGGAGCTGCTCCGTGCCTGGGAGCGCTGGGAGCGCAGAGCTGGAAGGGCTTGGCAGCGTCCGAACCCTCACAAGCAGCTGCCTGGCAAACCCCGAGCTCTCCTGCCTTTTCCAGCAGCCAGCCGAGGAGCCAAAGCCAAACAAAACCATCCGAGCCATTAAGGGAGAAGAAGGTGATTGAAAGAACATTTGAAAAACACCTCACACAGGAATTTCGATTTTGTAGCTAGCTGTTAACAGCTTGCTTGTTTGTTCTCAGCTCAGGTCTTCATTCAAAAACAAGTTTTGCAACTTCAATTGGTAAAATAATAATTCTTCATAAGCATTCGCCATCAAATTTCTTCTTTTGAATCCTTCTGGGTGCTGCAGCTGAGAAAGAAGGGATGGGATGAGGCTGACGTGGCCAGGAGGGAAGGAAGGAAGGTGTCTGTAGTTGCATGTGTCTTCTCTTCTCTTCTCTCTGCTGTCCTCTCTCTTTCTCTCTCTTTCCTGTTTCGTCTGTGTCTTGTGTTTTACAGTGTTGCCTGTGTGGAGGAAGGAATTCTGTCCTGGCACCACCCTCCTGCTCCCTGCCCGGACTCTGCTGGGAGCTCGCCTCTGCCCCTCCTCGGTGGCCAGGGCTCTCCTGGCTGCTCTCACTGCTCCCACCTCTCTAGTTTGGCCTGGGAGCCCCCGGGACGGCGAGCTTGCCCTGGGGTTTGTCCCACCCCCGGCCCCAAACCCTGCTGGAGTGGAAATTGCCCTTGCCCGATGCTCGCTGTGCCCCCCGGGCAAAGGAGAGTGGGCGCAGAGGTGGGTGCTGGGAGCCCCCCGCTCCTCAGCCGGCCCCCGGGCTGCTGCAGCGCTCTGGGCTGATCTCCCCTCTCCTCCTGCTCCCAGCTCGCCCCTCTGCCTTCCCCAGCTCCTGCCCGGGGCCGCCCCAGCTGTGCCACCCCAGCTGTGCCGCCCCAGCTGTGCCCCAGCTGTACTGCCCCTGTGCCCCAGCTGTGCCGCCCCAGCTGTGCCCCCCAGCTGTGCCCCAGCTGTAGTGCCCCTGTGCCCCAGCTGTGCCGCCCCAGCTGTGCCCCAGCTGTGCCCCAGCTGTGCTGTGTGTCCTGCTCGTCCCCTGTGCCAGCCCAGGCCCCGGAGCCCCTCAGGGCTCCCAGCTCCTCTCCCAGGCTCTTCCCTGGGAGCGTTTCCCTGCGGAGCCGTGCTGGGGGTCCCAGGCATGGATTGGTGGGCTCAGTGCCTCTTCCCCAGCCCTGATCCAGCTCACATCACGCCCTGGAATCACCCAGGTGCACAAAGAGAGTTTGGCTCTCCCCGTGCCTCAGTTTCCCTCCCTGCAGGACCCAGAGCAGGTCTGGGTTAAAGCCCAGCTCAGCAGGTCCTCATTGCCCCCAGCCACAGCCAAATGGGTGCCAACCCCCCCTGGATGTCTGGAGGTGCCCAGGGCTGCGTGTGGGATATTCCAGGCTGGGATTTGGGAATTGCAGGTGCTGCATCTCCAGTGGAGATGGACAGGGAGTGTCAGGGCCGGGTTCTCCTCCAGGCTGGCCCCTCTCTGTGCTCCCACAGGGCAGGAGGCCGAGCCTGGATCTCAAACCAGGGATTGTCTTTGCTTCATGCCCAGGAAAAGTGTCCAGAGGGAATTTCCCCCTGGAATCGGTGCCTCCGTGCTGGGGGATGTGGCTAGGGGACAAAAACGGGAAACAAACATGGGGACAGCACCCCAGGGAGCAACTCCTGGTCCTTGGGAAGAGCTCAGAGCTGCAGGGAAGCTGGGGACAGAGCTGGAACTGTGTCCTCGTGCCCGAGCTGGGGACAGAGCTGTGTCCCCATGCCCGAGCTGTCCCCTCTCCCTGTCCTTTGCAGACCCCTGGCTCTAGGCTGGGCCTGGGCAGGCAGATCCTGACCCAGCCGTCCCAGGCTGCCTGGCACAGCGGTGCCACAGCGGTGCCAGCGCCGTGCTGTGGGCAGGGACGGTGCCAGGGCCACACCGTGCTGCGGGCAGGGACGGTGCCCAGGGCGCTCCCCAGGGACCTTGCCCAGCTCCCTGCCCCCCTGCCCTGCTGCCAGGGCTGTGCTGTTCTGCTGTCACTCCGTCTCCTCCGGGCTGCCTGTCTGTCCCCACCCGTGTCCTTGTCCTGTGTCCGTGTCACTGTCCAGCCCTGCTGTCCTTCCCTTGTCCCACGGGGTCACTGGGCAGTGCTGGCTCTGTCCCACGGGGTCACTGGGCAGTGCTGGCTCTGTCCCATGGGGTCACTGGGCACTCCTGGCTCTGTCCCACGGGGTCACTGGGCAGTGCTGGCTCTGTCCCACGGGGTCACTGGGCACTCCTGGCTCTGTCCCCCAGCACGGCCGCTCCCTCCTGGGTGCTGGGGGAGTTCTTGGTTGGGAGCTGGGGTGAGCCCCGGGATGTCCCTGCCAGCAGGGAGGGGGACACGGCCTCTGCTCTCTGCTGGCACTTTGTCACCGCTGGGCTCGTGGATCCAGAGGGAGTGCTGCTTCCAGCCAGGGAATTCCCAGCCCTGGAGTCCCTTCCCGAGGGCTGGGCTGAGGGGAGGACAGGGATGTCCCCATCCTGCCCCACAGCAGCTCCCTGGGGAGGGGGTGGCATGGGGCCTCAGCAGTGCTGTGACCTCCCCGGCCAGCTCCTCTCCACCTCAGGGAAGGTGCAGGTTGGACATTAGGAAAAAAATTTCACCAAAAGAAAACCAAAGCACTGGAATTGTCTTCCCAGGGAGGTGGTGGAATCACCATCTCTGGGTGTGTTTAAAAAAGACTGGAGATGGCTGAAGACTTGGTGCTCTGGTTGAGGTTGTTAGGGCATGGGTTGGGCTTGACGATCTTGGAGGCCTCTTCCAACCTCGTGATTCTGTGATTCCTGGGGAGCCCCATGAGGTTTTTGGGGAGCAGCGTGACCCCTGGGTGTGGCTACAGGGAAAGGAGCCCTCCCATCCCGTGGGAGCTCGGTGCGAGGCTCTGCTGCCCTTTCTGGCCAGGGGATGAGGTGGCAACCCCAATCCCAATAATCCCGCTCCTGTTCCCGTGCCCATCCCTGGCCCGTGCACGGCGGGGCCGGGGCTCGGGGCGCCCGCCACCCGCGCCTCTCCTGTGCCCTCCGCAGACCTGGGCGCGCCCAGCCCCTGCCTGAGCGTGGAGTGCTCCTTCGGCGCCACGTGCGTGGTGAAGAACGGGGCAGCGGCGTGCGAGTGCCAGCAGCAGTGCCAGGGCCGCTACGACCCCGTCTGCGGCACCGACCAGCGCACCTACGGCAGCCCCTGCGAGCTGCACGCCATGGCCTGCCTGCTGCAGAGGGACATCGGCGTCCGGCACAGGGGGCCCTGCGGTGAGACTCGGGGTGGCGTGGGGCTGGGGGTGTCCTCAAAGGGACATCGGGGTGAAGGACAGGGGGCCCTGCGGTGAGACTCGGGGTGGCGTGGGGCTGGGGG